TACTAAAAATAAGATAACATTTATTTTTACAAGAATATGTACTGCTTTTCTTGTTTTGAAATGTGATCTGGACACATTTCAGAATTGGAAAATGACACCTTCGCAACTTAGGATGCTCATATAAGTGCCACAGTGTATCGGCGCAGCTGTTCATTGGTCATATAAGTATATTTCCAGGATATAATTCTAGGACATAAAATTGCATCCATACACCTCCGTGAGTTGACCATAAATATCAGCTAGTGTTGTGCTGCAGCATATCTTGACTCTGCATATCCTAGTCTTTTCATTTCCATTGTTTTAGCCTTCTTGAAATTTACTGTACTGCACCAGAAAGGATTTTGACATTATTTACTCTAGGCTACAATCCAGAGAACTTTGATCTGGTGCTATTTAGAACTATAATGCATATAACATAATGCACTGGTAGCTCTTTAAAATTACAACTAGCTGGATCAGTCTGATTTGTGAATGAATAGTTCAGATCGGATTTCTGAACTGCTTTATTAAAGGTGCAATGTGTAAAAATTATCTATCTAAGTATCTATTAACAGAAATGCAATATGACATCCATAACTATGTTTTCAGTGGTGTATAAAGAACTTAATTAACCGTAACGTTTTTATTACCTTAGAATGAGAAATTTACATCTACATAACCGCAGGCACGCTACGCTTTACGTAACCGCAGGCACGTTACGCTTTAACTAAATCTGCCATAGTAACAGCCAAGCGGCAACATTCTAATCTGAAAAATGAAGCCTACCCGGAAGTGCGATAAACTGCAATACATCTCAAATCCACTAGAGGCCGGTCCCAAAAGGGAGTAAATATCCATAGACGTCATGTTATAATGTCCATTTTCACAGCATAAATTCATATGTTTACAGTTTGGTCCCATGGACTTGTATTGTATTTTTCGATAGGTTCCGCGTGCCTGACAACTTTGAGGGGGGTGAATTTTTTTCTAACTCGTTAGTTTAGATCATATTTAAAACGTATGACAAATAAGAGCGGTTAACTTTGATTGACAGCTGATAATGGGCTGCGCCGAGTGAATTTGACGTCTCGGCCATGATCTGACACAACACATCATACCACCTCTGTATTCTTTCTGAAACTTTTGTAATTTGTATTTTCCAAGATTTTCCAGTATGGCGCCCCCCATAAACAGCTTCAAACCCGTTCTTCAGAGAGTCTATGGGTGACGTCACAGACGCTTTGTCCATATTTTTTACAGTCTATGGTAACAGCTCACATTTAGCCAGCTAAAATTTTCTACCCTGTTAGAAAAAATACATAGTTGTATAGTTTCATGTGGTTCTTCTCCCTCGCTGTATTATGGGTTTGCTATGTAGGGAGAAATGTGCTGGTTACGTTTGTGAGACAATCAGCTGTTTACTATTATTATATTATATATGAAAACCCTTGATTTGATGATCACCTGACTATGGTTTTGTAAACTTTATCCATGATGTGGTTTATAATGGACTGTGGTACAGAAACAGTGACAATGTTACACACTCTCGGCTTACTCTGGCTATTCTCTGCTGTCTCAGACGACGATACGTTTGTCCCATTTTAGCCACCGTAGCTTGGGAGGGGTGAGCAGTGCACTTAGTGCAACTCGCAACTGAACCGCTAGATGCTGCTAAAAATCACACACTGCACCTTTAAGAAGATCAGATATAATTTTTTTTTTTTTAAATAAAAAAAGACAAGTTCATTTTTACACTTTTATTATACTTTTATGGTATTTATTTGTCATTTTGGAGCTTGACACTTTCACTATAGTCAAAAACGTAGCCAGGATATTCTTTAAGATTACATCTTTTGTGTTTTACGTAAGAATGAAATGTTCCCACATGAAAGGTTATGACCTTCGTTGTTGTATTGCCCTTGTATATTTTACCACCAAAATAACGTAATCGACATAATCGACACCCTCTACTGTTGGGCTGCACCAGGGAAAACCATTCAGTTCTTGAATATTTTTATCATAATGTGTTAGCATCTGGTTTGAGAGTCAGTTTACTTTGTAAATGTGAGATTTTAGAGTGTAGAAGTGTTCTGCAGCAATGCTGCTCCTCCAAAACAGAAAAAAAACAACTACAAAGCTGTTCTTTTTGCTCAGAAATGGATTCACTTGGCAGCGAGTGGGACTGCCAGACTGCTGAAATCTCTGCATATCACTATCACTTTCTCTCCGCATGCACACAGACAGACACACACACTCAAACATCTCTTTATTGATTTGATGCATGACTTATCCAACGGAATTGTTGTTTTGAAGGAGTCTGAGGAGGATAGCCTACTTTATAAATCACTTTCAGCGGGAGCGCCACACTCTGGCACACACATACACTGCATTTGCTCATTATGATCTAACGCTACTCTTTTGCTCATTCACAAGGATGTCTTTGAAAGCAAATGCAATATTTTGGCATGCAGAGAAGAGGGAGACGCTTTGGAATTGTGCGTTCGCATGCATGCATGTGCAACCGTGCAGCATACCTGTGCAGCGTTTGTAAGAATATACAGCGCAGTGATGGCATCTTTAGTTTTCAGGTCCATACTCTTTCCATATTAATGAATATGAAGGCAAGGCTTTTGAAAGCTTGATGGGGCCTTGGAGTCTCTTACTAAAGCAGAATTTCTAACAGAGCTCTGCACCCATGGGCTTCGTCGCAGGGAAAAACGCAGTCTAACAAAGGTAGACTTCCTAAGCGGAGAGAGAAAACATGCGTAGGAGGAAGAAAAATATAAGCACTCAGGATGTTTAACGCTTATGGAGATAAACAGCTTCTGCATCACTGAACTCACAAATACTTTAGCTGTGTTCACTGTGGTTTACATGGCTGCCATTTTTGGCTTGGACTTGTAATGCTGTTTGTTGCATGTTTTAGGTTGTTCGAAAATGTTTTTGGTGGTCGCCCGACAGCAAAATATCCATAGCTACTTTATGTTTACTTAATGTCATCTTCTAGAAGTGATATTTAATGCACTTGTAACAGAGTGAGATCTCAGTCTCATTTAACGCTCATTTAACTGACAGATAGCCAGCATATGTGCGAGTGGAAGATTTTGTTTAAATGCGCTGAAAGGACCACACTATTGAAAGGCTAATTATTAATGCACAGCAATTTACCGCATCATATTCAGTAAATGAATCACCGTCAGGTCTCATAAAAGGCCTTCCTGCATCTCACTAATTTAAACTCCCACACATACATGCGTATACAAAACTGCCCAATGCACAAACGTGCATGCCGATGGAGAGAAGCACGCTTGCATGAACACATGCATAAAATCACGCAAATCCCAACAGGCAGTTTAAATAACAACTTTGACGCATGCTAATTAGCACACGCCTATTGTGTGCTCATGAACGTGTGCAGTTTTATTATATGCTGTGAAATAATACAGTATGCATGGTTCTAGAGCGTATGCATTGTAAGCTTTACACACAATACACTCTCAGGCATTTCAACAGGGTGGTCCTGTGTATTCAAGGCCAGCGCCTTCAGTCCAATAACAATGATTTCTTTAGCAAACCCACATTAACACACAAGCCACACAACTGTTTTTCAGTCGTCACGAAATGTGTTGCAATGGTGGAAACTCTTGGTCACAGTGAAAAATGGAGAACAAATAAATAAAGACTATATATATACTACTTTTATATATAATACTTTTTAGTATTCTTATAGAAATGTATTTACGAAACATAGGTGCATGAAATGGGTGCATCATTTCTAGACTTTTAATGACTCACTCTCCAATGCACCCTGGACGACACAGATATTCTTTGCTTTTATCAGTGGTTGAGTTGAAGTGAAAGTCCCTCCACATGTGTGTACTCTTTTCTGTAGTGTTCTTCAGGTTAACTACTTGTGCTAATTATCATTCCAAACGAGTGAAAGCCACACCTGTGTTGCGTGCAGAATATCAGATCGTCATTAGGCTTTACAACCTCACATCTCACCATAGCATTCATTGCTCCAACCTAACGCAACAGTGATATTGAAATTCAGCGCAGACCCCCGACGCAATAAATTATGAATCATCCTGGTCTTTTCTCTGGTTATTTTACAGATCCAGGTGAAGTCTGAAGCACAGCTGCTTAAGCTAACAGCATGGTTGCAAAAAAGAGACTAATTAGAAGTTGGTCTATTATTTGATATTTAGTATCCAAAGTGATTTACAGGTAAAGTCATGGGGACAGTCCTCCTGATGAAACCAAAATCTTTTTAATTAAGAGCACCATGATTCATGAACAAACCTGTAGCCTTTCAGTCACCAGCAACAACAAACCCCATAAGTTCAGAAACCTTTACAATCTAAGGGTTTTAAAATGTATCTTTGAACAAAAGGCAACGCTATCACTTTTTAGATATCTTGAACCACATGTAAATACAATTTTTTTATAAAAAATAAATGCAAGATCCAGAGGTCCTAGAAAACTTCTGAGCATTTTTTTCAGGAGTATCCCCATCAGTTTCGACCTGGAATCTGCCATGCTTTGGAACACTGAAGTATTTGTGGCATCACATTTTATGCATAATAAACAGATAAATACCTATAAAACATTTTACTTTGATTCACTTTGAAGTGCAAAGTGGTTGAAGACTTTTACACATGACATTTATGTGAACCAATACGCATCACTAAAAGACATGGTTGGGATGCGCTTAAGAGCATGCAAAGTTTTCTCTTACAAGCCTGGTGTTGAAAAGTGTCGTTTTGAACATTTTAAACCCCATATGTAAGTTTTAAAACGCGTGCAAATATTGTTTTGCCCACATTTTTACACATTACCGTATGACCATAAATGACTGATATCAAATCAGCGCTGTTTCATGAAGCCCAGCTCTGCACTTTGGCTTATCTACAACATAATTTCTTTTTATTTTTTTGTATTATTTCCCATACCATCTCTTCAGTGTTATAAAACAGCAGCAAAGCTCATTTAAAATTCTATGCGAAAAAAAAAAGCCTTACCTCTGTTAAATATTCCTTTTGTTGGCAGCCTTGTATATTTCCTCTTCTTTGCCGTATTTTAAACTGTTCCTTAACTCCGTAACTGTGGGTCCGCACGCGGGAAGCGCAGCAGAGAGGCTGACAACACTGTCCTCACTCATCGGAGGATGAGAGAGAGAGAGAGAGAGAGAGAGAGAGAGGGGGGGGGAAACAGAGGAGGGAGAGAGAGAAATAGTGCCGTTGCTGTAGTAGACAAACACACACGTCTGGCGTTCGGGATGGTGCCTTGCCTCAGGATGCTTCTGTCTCCTAGCAACAACAATCGATCTGGAGAGGATGCATTTTTTATTGGCCAAAGAGATAAAACTCACCTTTAAACAATTAATACGAGTTGCACGCTCCAACGCATAAAGATCAGCTACGGATAATGCATTTGGGAGGGTGATGGGTAAAGAGAGAGAGAGTTCAACAAAAATTACCAACAAGAGCACATGGTCAGGGTCTCAGGTGTGCGCTATGATTCTGTCCGCAGTCATAATTGGGCGTTAGTTATATTAATGCATAGATCAACATTATGAATTGCATATCTACGATTTTTCAGATCTAATAAATCCATGTTTAAATGTACCAAAACACTGATGGGTTATGAGTGGGGGTGTCAGCAGCTCTGCGTGAAATGAGCTCAGCCCACCGACGGCAGTGCGCAGTGATGTTAGATATGCAGCCAGATCATTTTGATTCTGCATACAAACACATCTCCGAGAGTATTTATCATGTGCAGAGAGACCATGGCCATTTCAATTTGATGTATAACCCATTTAACATAATACAATCTGTCATCCTTATTGTACATGTGTTGCTACACTCCTGTCTCATTATGCTGACCCTATTGAGACGTCCGGACACTTGTAAACGCTTTTGTGCTTTACAGTGGTAGTTGTGCAGTTAGATTCCTGTCCTTTAATACTAATCCATTCGGTCTGACGTGTGATGTCAACAAGGTCTGTCGGGTGTCATTAAAATGCACGTTTTTAAGCCTGTGGTTCCCCTCGAATAGGCTGCAATTGGACGGGGCGAAGGCGCATGCATGGCTGCACTTGTGTGTGTGGCCCTCTGCTTTGTCCACACTACAAAATACAAAATGTTAATTTGAGGTGGAAAAAATTAATAATTGATTCACTCCTAATTATTTATGCCTTTTTTTAATAGGTAAAGTGTGTTGGGGAATTCTGAAATGTGGATGTTTAATTCCGGTATTGTAAGAACCCACGTACTGATTGTGTGTGTGATGAACTAGTTGGCATGCACAGAGTGATGTTTAGCTAATGTTGTACAAGCACTGATGTGTGCTAATAATGCACACGGATAACAAAATAAAAGCCTATTTACTTAGCTAAATGCGGACACATGACTGACTTCTAAATAAATGAATGATTTAATTAAGTAATTAATTACAAATAACATCATTTATATTATACACACTATTTATATATAAATATGTATTTAAAACTTTTGGTCCCACTTTATATTAAGTGGCTTTAAGTACTATGTACTTTCATTGAAACAAATAATTTGATACAATGGACTTATTGTGTACATACATGTTTTTACATTGTACTTATATTTTTAAAATACCAGTATGTAATTACAGCTGTAACGAATTTATGTAATTACATCTGTAATTACACAGCTGACCCATCCCTTACACTTTAACCTATCCTTAAACCTACAGTACCCATACCACCACACCTGTCCCTAACCTTACCCTCAATAGCAGCAAAAGTGTTTTACAATACAACATGAGCACAACAAGTACATTATACTTACTTTTCAATGGAAGTACATAGTACTTAAAGCCACTTAATATAAAGTGGGACCAAACTTTTTTCTCTGTCTCTCTTGCTTTCTCTCTCTCTCTCTCTCTGTCTCTCTCTCTCTCTCTCTCTCTCTCTCTCTCTCTCTCTCTCTCTCTCTCTCTCTCTCTCTCTCTCTCTCTCTCTCTCTCTCTCTCTCTCTCTCTCTCTACACATACACAATATAGCCACAGCATATAGCAACACAGAAAAAAAAACACCACACACACACACCAGATCAACTATATTACTCGTAAGCTTTGAGTAATGAGTAAATGTTTTAAATTACAGTTAATATTGTGCAGTTTTATGTTATGAAAACGGGGTAACAGTCCATGTGAGCTTTAAAGGAGTATATCTTTATGTGAAAGTTTTTTTTTTCCATTATTGACATGATATACATCTTTATATGTATTTTTAAAATATATTTTACATTAGAGTAAATATTATGCATTATTATGTTATAAAAAAGAGGTGGTGGTCCAATCTTGAAACAACCTTCATGCCATTTTAATGGTGACCTCCAATAGTGTGTTTTTTTTTTTAGATGACTAATGTGAAAGGGGAAGGAAATAGGCAGCATTTATTAATACTATGCCGGGTCTGCCACTAAACAAATACGACTTGAAAGGAATTATTTGAGTAAGGACCCTCTGGGGTATGCTGTTAGACCCCCCTTCTCCTCCATTTCCCTCTCTCTCTCTCTATCCTTCTTTCTCACTCTCTCTCTATCTCTCTTTTGTTCTCTTGCTCTGTCCTCTAAATGTGACAGATAATCTAACAGGCCGTTTACAGCTACATATGAGATTTACAAATGTGCCAGTGATACTGCATGGGGATACATGTTGTTGGGAATGAGTAGTGACTTCCAGATGGAAGACTTTTATTAGTCGCCTACCGATGTGAATTATGTAACCTCTCTGTCATTGCTTAATATCTCTGTTGATGCATGTAATCGCCAATTTTATAAGTCCTTGCTGGGTGTTCTGAGGTGGAATATGTTGTTTAAACAAATGAATATGTGGTTACATGCATAATGATCTATAAATAGGCCTTTGAGCAAAGCATTATTAATAATACAGTGCATTTTACTGTGACTAATGAAAATGTTTCATCTCTGATCCTCATTATATCAAAATTGGAGTTTTGTAGTTTTTTAGTTAATGAATGTCTGTCAGTTTTGAGGTTTGTGTGCTATAGTACTACTTAAAATTAACAAAATGAATGCTATATTATTTTTATTATTTAAAATTTGACTAAATCAAGGCTAAATCAAGATATAAGGTGCATGGCCTAAATTTAGACATATCTGTATTTACATTACAGTGAAGAGCAAAAAATCACACAAGTCTGACTTGTATATGAAGAACCCAGAAATTAATTGGATCAATATTTTTGATATGTGATGTGTAAACGGTTGGGCCTATGTTTTTTTTTTGTTTGTTTTTTTTTTAAAACTGGATTGGACCGAAATGGGCACTTTGGTTTGTGAATGTAGTCGAAGAGTGTAAACAGCGGGGGGTGGGGGGGTTATTGTTGTGGTCGGTGTGGGAAGTATCTGAACATCTCAGCAGAGCGCAACAATCACTGCTTAACTGGATTGCCCTCGACCTCCCTTCGCTTCATCTGAATAAAAGGCAGTGTTATGATCAGCCTGTCAATCAAAGCAGTTTCCCAGTGTTGTTTCTCAGAGCCCTGCTGCTGGTACTGCAGCTTTGATGGATGCCTCTAAAGCAACAGTCTCCTCTCCACACTGGGCCTCTGAAGAAAAGAGGCTTTGTACGTTTGCATGCATGTATGCTGGACAGAACTGCTTTGTTTGGTCAAACTCCTCTCTCTCTTTCTCGCACACACACACACACACACACACCGTAAAACCAGATCTTTTGTTCCGGGTGCCTATGCATATTGTCCAGCTGAGTTGTTGGTAAATGACAGGAGGGAAAAGGAAGTAATGTGGGATTAGGAAAAGGAAGTGATATGTGGAATTAGAAACAGAGGGAGAAGGGGAATAGAGAAAAGAGTGGAAAAAAAGAAGTTGGAAATGTGGTAGGAAAAGGAATAGACAGATGAAATATAAAGGAGGGAAGGAAAGAAAACTACATAAAAAGATCAGAGAAGGAAGGAAAAAGAGGGACAAGGAGAGGACGAGGAAGTGAGGAGGGAAATAGAGGAAAGAGTAGAGAAAAGAAAGTTGGAAAGGAGGGGCAGATTAATGGACACATTAAATAAAAAAGGAAAGGAATGAAAACAACATAAAAAGGTAAGTAAGGAAGGAAAAGGGGGACAAGGAGAGGAAGAAAGTGGGAGAAGGGAAATAAAGGAAAGAGTAGAAAAAGTTGGAAATGAAAAGAGATGGGGAAGGAAAGAATACATGAAGGATCGATATGAAAAGAGGAGGAGGAAAGCTGAGTTATGTAAAAGAAAGTAATGAATGACTGACGAAAATTAATGAATGTTCAAAGTAATTAAACAAGGAACGAATGACAGAAAGAAGCAAAAAATAGGAAGAAAATGAATAAATAAAGGATGGATGAAATAAATGAAGAACAATGAAAAAGGAGGAAAAAGCAAAGCAATGTGAAAGAAAGAAAGAAAAAGAAAGAAAGAAAGAAATTAAAAGATGGAGGAAGGAAAGCAAAGTTATGTAAAAGAAAGGAATGAATGACAAAAAAAAGGTAGGATGCAAAAGGGGATGGGGGAGGGAGTATGTGAAAAAAGGAGAAAGCAAAGCAAAGTTATGTAAAAGTAAGAAATAACAGAAGGGAGCAAAGGGGAGGAGGAAAAGAAAGGAGGAAAGAAAGAAATAAATTAAGCAAGGAATTAAAAAAATGAAAAAATGGAGGAAAGCAAATTCATTGTATTGTAAAGTTTTTTAAAATAAAGAAAGTAGGATAAAAAAGGTACTGAAGGAAACAAGAAAATAAAAGAATTAGTAAAATAAAGGAAATTAAACGGAAAGCAAAATGGAAAGAAAGGGTAAGGAGAAGCCCTTTCTCTATACGTCTCCCCAGAGACGTTTTCATGCGCAGAATTAGAGTCAGTGTGAAAGAGCAAGAGAGAGAGAGAGAGCAAGGCAGTCAGAAAGAGGGAGTTTAACACTTCCCCCACATACACGTAGGGTGAATCCATCTGTTCCCCCTCTGTAGACATGCATGGCCTTAATGTTCAGCGCAGTCCATGTATTAATACAATTATCAATGGCTCATTTATCAACTGCACAATGCCAGCTATGCTCCACTGATTGATTACTGTTCAGTGTATGCACACACATACAAAGTCACTGAGGCCTTTCAGAGCATCAGATCCACCATAACCTACTGTAGAAGCTAAACCTAAAGGCTTTTGAACATGTTGACGAAATATTTAAAGAGCCCCTATCATAGCATTTGAAATGTTCCTATTTTTGTTTTAGGAGTTCCCATGCATGCAAGGATAAAAATCACTTTATTTGTCTTATAATATGCATTTATTTTT